TGACCCTTAGCCTCCTGAGTAGCTACAATTACAGACCTGTGCCACTTCATCTGGTTTACATGATATTCTCTCAAATCTTCACAGAAACCTTGTTAGATAAGTGATATTTTATAGAGGAGGCAAGGGAGGTTAAGTAATTGCCCAAAGTCATATAAAAAATAAAAAGCAAAGTCAGGATTTGAACCCAGATCACCTGACCACATTTTATATCTTTACCATTGAGACCTGCCTTGTACCAGATATTTTAAGCCTGTCTTGTGTTATTGAAATGAGGAAAGTGATGTTTTCCCGTACTTGGAGATATTTAAGGGCTTGCCTGAACTCACACGGCATCTGGAACCACACCTAATTTCTCTGGTTCTCTTTTCCGACTTGCTGGGGACTACCAGATTATGAACTTTAAGGTGGTACATTTAACTTCTGAATTTGCCTTTCTGCATTTTTAACTCACCTGGCATGGGGCCTAAGACTGCCCTCGGTTGGGGAGGGGAGAGAACCTTTTGGGAGCTAGAATAAGGGACCCCTTAGCCCATTCTTTTCTTCTTCCCTCAGGCCAGGAGGTCATTAATCTCTTAAGGCATTCTGCCCTGCCCACTGGTTATAACCAGGAAGGACAAGGGGAAGAGCAGGGGATTTCCCTTGGCCTCACTGGAGGCAGGACAGGTCCAAGCCCTTTAAAAACTGTCCTTCAATTGCCCCTCTCCCTGCTTTCCTTTTTGGGAGGGGCCAGTCCTGCCCTTGAGGCCAAGGTCAGCTCTGCCTATTGGCTTCCCCACTCCTGCTTAGCTCCACTAGGCAGAGGCTGAGTGAAGAGCTAGAGTCTGGAATTTGTGGGTATGGGAAACAATGGCAAACTCCCCTCCTCACTTCTCCCACCCAAATAACTGTTGTTATGACAACCCACCTCCACAGAGCAGTTTGTGGAAAAGCTTCAGGCAAGGAAGGGGAAGACATAGATTCAAGTCTAGATTCTGCTACTGAATCATTTTGTGATCTTGAGCCAGGCCCTCTCTCTCTCAGGGCCTTAGTATTTCTGTCTCTTGGAGGGGGAAGTAAGGGAGAATTGTGAAACTAAATGATTTGCAAGAGCCTTTCTAGTAACAATAGTCTAAGAATCTCAATTCACCACCTAGGAGCTAAAATTGGTACTGAGCAATGAGGGAGCCCACCGGGGACCCTGGGCCTGGGCAGAAAGTCTGATATGCATATGGGGAGGAGTTGGGAGACTTGAATTCCCCCAGGGAGAGAATGGGTTAGGGTTGCCTCTAAGACTGCATCTCTCCTGAGCTGTTATTCCCTGCTTTGTTTCCAAAGAGATGGTATGAAATAACTGTTTCTTTTTCTGGCGAGAAAGCCTTGCTTTTTCTATTTTGGGGAGTGACGCTATCACAGTCAGGGAATCCCACTGTCACAGGATTATAGAATCTGATCCTCTGATTCATTTCACAGCAACACAGTACCACCTAGTTCCCTGAATTTTGGGGACCACCAGAGGGGCCAGATAGTAAAGGAAAGAGAATCACAGAACTGAGTGTGACCTACCCAACACTAGGGAGAGCGCCAGAAACAATTGAGCAGGATTTGTTCTCAAAGAGCTCACAATCTGGGTTAGGGAAGGAGGGGACAACTCTAGTACAGGATGAGAAGTGCTGTTGGAACCCTGGGGGGCCTCCTGGGAGTCTGGATCATGAAATAACATAGTTGGATTACTGCCACTTGGAATTGGAGGGGATATATCCTGAAGTTGGAATGCTTCTCTCCTCCTCTTTGTCTGGCTAAGTCCTACCTCATCCCTAACCTTCAAGTCTCATCTGACATCCATTATCTAGGAAGCATTTCTGGCCTCCCTGAATTGGGTTATGGTATTAACCTAGGTACTCATAGTCCTCTGTGCCACAGTTGTTTCCTCTAGCATTTGTCACTTAATTTGGGGGTGGAGGGGCAGGGTACTGGGGATTAAATCCACTCTACCTTTGAGCTACATTGCTAGCTCTTTTTATTTTAATTTTTTCAATTTTGAGACAGGATCTCACTAAATTGCTGAGGCTGGTCTCAAACTTCTGATCCTCCTGCCTCAGCCTCCTGAGTCCCTGGGATTACAGGCATGTACCATCATGCCCAGCTTGTCACACTGAATTTAAGGACTTGCTTTATTGTCTTATCTAACCCACAAGACTGAACCCTCTGAGGTCAAGAAATGGTGGCTTTTCTCCTTTGTCTAACACAGTGCCACGCCTGTAAGAAACATTCAATAAATATTTGTCCTGTGACAGATTAATTTTATCTTGAGAAAGGGCAAGGAAAACTTCCCAAGGAAGAAGGCATTTGAGATAGTCCCTGAAGACCGAACAAAGGCTGTAGGAATTTAGTTTAGGAGGGCAGACTCAACCCATTCACTTACCTTCACTGTTTTCTGAAATTCTATTAAAGAACCAATAGAAAGATTATTATTTTTTTTAAGAGAGAGAGAGAGAGAGAAAGAGAGAGAGAAAGAATTTTTTTAATATTTATTTTTTAGTTTTCAGTGGACACAACATCTTTATTTGTATGTGGTGCTGAGGATAGAACCCAGCGCCCCGCGCATGCCAGGAGAGCACGCTTCCACTTGAGCCACATCCCCAGCCCAAGAAAGATTATTTTAAAAGGCATGAGGCAGGTGGCTCAGTGGTAGCATTTGCCTGGCATGTATGAGGCACTGGGTTTGATTCTCAGCACCACATATAAATAAAATAAAATCCAGTAACAAATAAAAACTTTAAAATAAATAAATAAATAAATAAGGCCTGAGGCCATAATGACAATCAGAATAAAGGGAGAAGGTGATGGGAACAAAATTTTGGAAGCTGATAAGAAGAAGAAAAGTAGTAACTAACTCAGACCTCAAAAAAGCTGAATTCTAGGTGGGGCATGGTGGCACATGCCTGTAATCCCAGTGGCTCAGGAGGCTAAGGCAAGAGAATCACTTGTTCAAAGCCAGCCTCAGTAACAGCGAGGCACAAAGCAACTCATAAGACCCTGTCTCTAAATAAATACAAAATAGGGCTGAGGATGTGGTTAGTGGTCGAGTGCCCCTGAGTTCAATCCCTGGTACCCCACCACCACCACCAAAAAAAAAGCTGAATTCTAAGCTAGCAGTAGGGCAAGCTGAAAAGCAATGCATTTGCACTAAGAAATTCTCAAAGAATTGGTGCAGTGGTGCACAAGTATAATCCCAGTGACTCACTTGGGGAGGCAGAGGTAAGAGGGTCACAAATTGGAGGCCAGCCTGGACAACTTAGCAAGATTCTATCTCAAAAAATTAAATGGTCTGGTGATATAGCTCAGTGCTCAGTGGTAAAGTGCTCAAGGGTTTAATCCCCAGTACCAAAACAAATCAAAACAAAAAGAAAAACTCTCAAAATCTTAGGAGTTAGATGCACCAGGTATTTCTGGAACTGAGAGCACAAGAGGTGCTGAAACCAAGAGGATTGCTTAAGTGTCTGTTTAAGAATGATATTCTAAGATGGTGCTGAGGTACATACCTATAATCCCAGCTGCTTGGGAAACTGAGGCATGAATTCAATAATAAGCAATTATAATTGCCTCAGCAACTTAGCAAGGCACTAAGCAACTCAGTGAGACCCTGTCTCTAATAAAATACAAAAAGGGGCTGGGGATGTGGCTCAGAGGTTAAATGCCCCTGGGTTCAATCCTTAGTACCAAAAAAAAAAAAAAAGAATTTCTAAGATCCCTTCCCCTTCTCTCACTGTGTAACCAGGTTAATTACTCCTTTATCTAGCAGAGGTTGGAAATAGAAGAGTAGAATGGGAAGGAGGAAAGGGAGGAAGGCAGAAAGAATTGAAAGAGAAAACACAGCATGAGAAGTAGTTTTGGTATGAGGACTTTAAATTTTTTTATATTTTATATTCATTTAGGTGCTGGGATTGAATGCAGGGCCTCAGGCATTCTGTATAATGCCTGAACTACATCCCCGGCCTCTAGTGTGAGGACTTTTGTTTAATGCATTTAGTTTGGACTGTACCACTGAACTACATCCCCAGCCTCTAGGATGAGGACTTTTGTTTAATACATTTAGTTTGGACTTGAATTAGAACTGTTATTTCACTGTTAATATGTTTGTCCACGTTAGGAAAGAATTAAAGATAACCTCCATTATCTTATGTCTTTAATAGTCTGTATTATCTCATATCTCAATTATTTATGCCCATCTCACCTTATTAGGACTATAAACTTCTCTCTCAACATTTTTTTAAGTTGTACATGGGCACAATGCCTTTGTTTTATTTATTTTTTATTTTTATGTGGTGCTGAGGATCGAACCCAGTGCCTCACACATGTGAGGCAACCACTCTACCACTGAGCTACAACCCCAGCCCTAAAAACTTCTCTTAAGCAGTGGCAATGAGACCTTTAAAATGTAACACAGAAAATTAGAAGACAATGGAACAATGTCTTAAATCTCAAAGAAAAATTAATTTCAACCTAGAATTTTATATCCAGCCAAACTTACTGCTATAAGGCTAGAATAATAACATTTTAAAACATGTAAAGTTTCAACCTCTAGATGCATCCAGAGGGAGAGCACCACTCACCTGAATTAAGTAGTAAATCAAGAAAGAAGGGACTAGGGTTGTGTCTCGGCAGTAGAGCGCTCGCCTAGCATGTGCAGGGCGCTAGATTTGATCCTTAGCACCACATAAAAATAAAATAAAGATATTGTGTACAACTACAACTAAAGCAAATATTTTTTTTTTTTTAAAAAAAGAAAGAATATATGGGTGGCATCTAAGAAATAAAGGATCCACCTTAGGAAAGGCAAAGGAAATCCCTAAGATGATAGTGAAGCAGAGACAGATTGAAGCAGATCAGAAGCCTTCTAAATAGATACTACTCAGTTACTCAGGAGGCTGATGCAGGAGGATCACAAATTCCACACTAGCCTGGGTATCTCAAAATAAAAAATGAAAAGGGTGATAGTTCAGTGGTAAAGCACTCCTAGGTTCAAGCCCCAATACTGACTGTAAGGTGGGGTGAGATGCCTCTAGAAGATAGAATAGATAGATCATCTCATGTGATGTGTATGAAAGCCTTGAAAGGGAAATTCAGATAATTGGGAAGAATCTGGGAATGATCTACTGGTAACTACATAGTAAACTAGGCAGTAAGTCTAAGCAAAGCATAGGTTGTAATAAATAAAAAGTAACTATTGTAAAGTACATAGCTTGGCTATAAGTAGCATTTCAAAATCCTAATAAGGTAATTGTATTGCCTTTTGGGAAAATGAGGAGGTGGGAAGTATGTCTACATAGCAGAGGAGTGGGGAGTGGGTTAAAGTTAAATCCTTAACTTCTTATAGTGTGGGAAGTCAATAGAAAAATGTTCAAAATTTAAAAATCAAAAAGTTGCAATAGAAGCATGTGATTTGGAGGCTAGGCTGAGACAGAAGAATCACAAATTCTAGACCAGTCTCAGGAATTTAGGGAGGCCCTAAGCAACTTAGAGACCCTATCAAAAAAAAAGGGGGAGGGGGCTGGGGATGTAAGTGGTAAGTGCTCCTGGGTTTAATCCCCAGTACCAAAAATAAATCTTCTATAACTGTTTGCTTCCATGTAAGCATCTATTGATTTGACTAAAAGTGAAACTAAGGGCTGGGAATGTGGCTCATAGGTAGAGGGCTGGCCTAGCATGCGTGAGGTACTGGGTTCGATCCTCAGCACCACATAAATATAAAATAAAGATATTGTGTCCACCTTTAACTAAAAAATAACTATTTTAAAAAATGAAACTAAATAAAACTAAAAAGTCATGTTGTAGCAGGACCTTGGGTCCATAGAGAAGTATGCCAGAGGTGAAACTAGAGAGATGGGCAAGAACCATATTACTATAGGCTTTTGAATGCCAGCCACTGAAGTGTTTAGATTTCATTCTCTAAGAACAATGCAAAACCAGTAAATCCCTCTTGAGCAAGGGAGGGACAGGTTCAGACTTGTGCTTGGGAAAGGTATTTTAGTGCATCTGAGCTGAGAGGGACCCTGGAGATTACCCAGAAAATCAGAATTATTTCCAGTACAGACAGGGAGACTGGTGTTAAGTGAAGGGAGACCATGAATCCCAGCCAGTGGGATGCTGATCCTTCTTAGCCCTGGCCAACCTTTTGTTCCCATAGCCCAAGCCCATAGTCTTGTTACCAGTACTCTGAAGGGACTAGGGAACTAGGTTAACTCGCTCTTTATTTTTCAGCTCCCACCTGCTTTTTGTCCACTTCCCAGTTAACAATCTATCAAGCTATTCTCTGTCCGTTTCTAAGTCTTACTGGTGAATCTGAACCAGTTCAATAGACTAAATGCCCTAAATATGAAGTTCTAGCCTACCAAACTAGAATTTGATTGGATTTTAGTATTTAACATTACTAAGACCTTATTCTGTGCTAGGTACTATGCTCTCAGTGTGTAATAGCATTTCAAAATCTTTATAGCCACCCCGTGAGATGAGTGATTTAGCCCTATTTGCAGTCAAGGAAATTGAGACTCAGAGAAGAGTCTCAATCACACAGCTAGCTCATCAATAGTGGAGCTGGAGCTGGGTGCAGTGGAGCACATCTGTAATCCCAATGGCTTGGGAGGCTGAGGCGGGAGGCTCGGGTTCAAAGCCAGCTTCAGTAAAAGCAAGGCACTAAGCAACTCGTTGAGACCCTGTCTCTAAATAAAATACAAAATAAGGCTGGGGATGTGGCTTAGTGGTCGAGTGCCCCTGAGTTTAGCCCTGGTACCCTCCCCCCCAACCAAAATAGTGGTTGGAAATTTGGGGGGGGGTTGGGGAGGCGGTTTCTGGGGATCAAACCCACGGCCTTATATATGCTAGGTAGCACTCTACCATTGACCTCCATCTCCACCCTGAGCTGAAATTTTAAATATTTGACCATTTTTTTCTAAAGCCCATTCTCCACATTCTGTTTCCATGCTTCTTAAAAGCAAAACACATTCGGTTGGTCACTAAGTAGGGGTCTCTGGAAATAACTGTGGAAGCCCATCGCTCAGACTTGTGACTAATTCCTTCTTCCACTCTCCCAGGCTTACCTGCGAGCTATTGATGTGAAGATCCTGCAGCAGCTGGTGACCTTGAACGAGGGCATTGAGGCAGTGCGTTGGCTGTTGGAGGAACGGGGGACACTGACCAGTCATTGCAGTAGCCTCACCAGCAGCCAATACAGCCTGACAGGCGGGAGCCCAGGCCGCTCAAGGCGGGGCAGCTGGGACAGCCTTCCAGACACCAGCTCTACTGACCGGCTGGACAGTGTCTCTATTGGCAGCTTCTTGGACACTGTGGCCCCCAGAGAGCTTGATGAACAGGGTCCCCCAGGGGCTCCCTGTCCTGAGATTGACTGGACAAAGGTTATACCTGGCGAGGAGAGGGCCAGGACTGAGGTGGACCTCACAGCCACCAGGCTAGAGAGCTTAATGTCTCTGAGGAAGCCTCCAGGGGAGGGGCTCCAAGGTGGACCATTGGAGCCACCAGAGGACGAGAGTGCCAAACTGGACTTTGAGGCCCACTGGTACTGGGGACAATGCCAAGATGATGTGACCTTCTTGTAACAACTTTCCCAACATTTTGTACTCCTATAGATCTTTCATCCCTTGGCCCTGGTCTCCCACAAAATTTATTCTCCCTCAGTCAAGGAGTAGGAATAGGATGCTCTGAAATCAATTACCATGAAAACCTGGCTCATCATAACTCCGGTCCTAGGGAGTCTCTACCTTTATCCCTCAATTACCAGGCCCCTAGAGCTATTTTCATAGAGAGGTTAACTACAGGTGGGTGTCTCCTGGTGTGAGGGTATTTCTATCCTCTCTCTCTGCCCCCACCCCCAGATAAGGATTTATGAACCATAGGAGATCACTAATGAAGAAATTGGGATGTAATTACTCATCTAAAGTCTAAAAGTCTTGCCACCTCTTGGTCAAGAAGACTGAGACATTCAGGGCCAACCCTTCCTGGATTAGCCCTCCCAGAATCCTTGGGAGTTGGTAGACCCTCCCCTTCCTACTGATGTCATTTCCTGCTAGGATGGACTGACTTTTTGTCTGTTTCAGTCTTTGGATGGTCAGTATAAGGGTGTCTGTGCCTCTGCTGCTAAGTGATACCATATCACTTCATAGCCTTACCATTACTTCATGTGAATGGCAACACATCACCCCTTCTGACAGGAAAGTTGCTCACTGGTGGATGTTTGTGCTGCTTTTTGGAATGTTCTTACCTTTTAAACAGGGAATTCTCATTTTGTCCTAGGGGGTCTCACGGTCTCTATCTACATCCCTGTCTGGTGCAACACTTTTGTCTGTTTGCTTTCTGGGAGAGAAACTGTTAGGGCCTGCACCTAAGGCTCTGAGTCAGCTTGGTCCACTCTGCTACAGTCCCCTGTCTTACCCAATCCCTGGGCTGCCCCATTCTAATTTTGACTCCATTTCTGCCTGCGGGGAGGTTCAGTTTCTGTGTCTCTACACCTTCTCAGTTTCCTTTTCAGGCCTCAGGCCTTTTATATGCAGATGAGTCCTAGCCTTCTCACCCTATGTTGGGAGCTGGGGAGAGTGAAGTTTGAGGCCCTCAGGGCTCTAGGGTAAAACCAGAATCTTGGAGGGTCGGGAGGTGTTATCTTCTCTGACTCTATAATGCCCTTCCCCCACCCGGTCCAGCCTTCCACCATTTGGTCACAAGGATGCCTGCCTGAGGTTGGGATACAAGGAATCCCCTTGTCTGGGCCACAATGTGGGGGTGTGGCAGGAACAGACAGAGGCTCTTTGGTCTCTGGGCCCCATCTTGGGAGGTGGGCAGGAGCAAGGGAAAGTCCTCCTTTCTCCCTTAGAGCAAGCCCCCTTTACTCTTGGACCTAAGGAGGGAGCAGGGGACTGGCTCTGGGGCTGGATCTCAGGACCCTAGCTAATTACACCAAAGAAGGAATTCACTGAAGCTGCCAACCTGGGGCTCAGAGAAGGGACAGGCCCAGAGGCCAGGGGGGATAAGGACTATGGCTGATGTTTGAATGAATTCTTGGAGATTAACCCTTGGATCCCAGGTGACTGCCCCATATGTTGGCCCCTGTTTTTTGTGGGCCCTAATCTAATTTGATTACTGGAGGGGCGGGGGGGGGGAGGGAATAAAAGAGGGTCTTGGGATAGTTAACGTGCTCTCCTGAGTTGGAGGAATCTTCACCAAACCTTGAAATAACTCCTACCATTTTTCTACTTTTCAGTTTTTGTTGGGGAAGGGAAGGAAGGAAGCCAAGTCTCTATTTCCCTTAAAACTCCTCAGATGTTGTTCAGCAACCCCCCACTCCCATCCTTCTCAGCAGTCCATGGCTCGCCCCTAAAGATCCTCTCTTCTCCTCTCCCTCAAAGTGAAAGAAATGTCCAAAGTATCCTCTCAGCCTCTTCTCTTCTGCCTACCAGACCTCTCTTTACTGCTCCTCAAGAACCTGGGGCTCCTGACCCCTTAAAGACTGGGAATTCCAATACTCCATTCCAGCCCCTTCTCCACAGCCATTTTATAGTGTTCCCTTGAGTGACCAAAGTAACCACCCTTCCTCATGGACGTCATTATATTCCTTTTTACTTTTTCTGGGGGTGTGGGGTGGGGTGTGTGTGCTTAGAGACGCTTGTGTGCTGGGCACTGAGCTATACCCCCCAACCCCATTGCATTCCTTTTTGAGTCTCACTTCACGTAGTCAACCAACTTCTCAACTGAAGAGGTTGCCTGCCCTCTTGTGGCCTTTATGCACCATTGCCAGGGTGGCTGGGTGGAACCTCCAAGCTCAAATAACAGTGCAGCCTCCTAGAAGACTAGCCCTCTCAGTACACAGAGAGGCTGGGGACCCAGGAATATATAGATTTGACGAGCATAACCCTTTGTGAAATCTCCAAAGCCACACTGTTCCCAGTCAACACCTCCAAAGCCCAAAGGAACTGAAAGCAATTTCCTCTGATTATAATGTTTGACCCATATTATGTCATCCCTAAAGAATCAGCTCCCCGTCTTTAGAGAAAGGACTGCAGGCTCTGTAGAATAGAAGCTTGGGCCTGGACATCAGGAAGAAAGCCAATCCCAGACCAATCATGAAAGAAAAGTAGGACCAGACATTGTGGGGGCAGAGCTCAGCATTTCAAACTTGTAGGTTACAAGTGGGACGGTGTGGGGAGCTGTGAAATTAGGAAAAACACATGGATCTTGTCAAGATTGGGGTATATCACAGGTCAGGGTATTATGTATAAGTCGGATAGGCACCTGAAAGTGTTGAAATGTTGGAGAGGTGAGGCAAGTGAGGCTACCTGGGTAGTCCAGGTAGGTCTGGGCATCCTGTGTTAATACCTTAGACTCCAGTTCCCTACCAGAGAAAGGAGCCCCACTTGTCCTTCCTGTTTTTAGACTAGCTGGGTGAAACTCAGCTGGTCTATTACCCTAGACTTTTCTGGGTTTCAGGGAAGAGCTACTTGGAATCTCAAAGGAGAAATGGTGAGAGATGTAGGAAAACTTGAGAATGAGCTGGGCACAGTGGTGCATGCCTATAATCCCAGCAACTCGGGAGGCTGACACAGAAGGATTGCAAGTTCAAGACCAGCCTCAGCAACTTAGTGAGACCTGTCTCAAAATTTAAAAAGGACTGGGGATGTGGTTCAGTGGTTAAGCACCTCTGGATTCAATTCCCAGTACCAAAGAAAAGGAAAACAGGGTGTCTAAAGTATGAATAGAAGAAGCATACTGTCCTGTGAGTACTCTGGGGGGGCTTTTGCCAGGGATCAGGGTAAAGGTAGAAATGAAACTGCTCATGACAGCTACAGAGAACACTTGAGAGGGTAAGGAGTGACACCAGAATGGGTCCATCAAGGGAACATTAAACCACGTGAGTGGACAGGTGTGAAGGCCTGTGCTTAGAGAGCACCAGGCTGACTGGAAATTATGGCAGCTTTGGTGAGAAATATTTGAGGTTACAGTGGACACAAGCTAATTTGTACTTTTGGTGCCAGGCATGTATTGGGTATTCAGTTATACCTGTGTGCCTGTTCAAGGAAGGGAGGGATGAATGTGTGTAAATCCATAAGGAATGTGACTTACAAAACTAAAGTTAACTGATTGTTTATATTAGGTAATTGAAAACTTACTCTATTTAATTCTTAGCAACCCTATAAACAGTACATAGTTAACAATGTCTTGTTGCTTAGAAATATGCTCAAACTCAGATACATATCAAATGAGCCATAATATAAAACTGGATCAGTATCACTTCCTACCCGAACCTCCACACTTAGTCTTAGGAGAATAGGTATTGCTGCTCAATAGTAAAGGCAGGTTCCTGTTGCTGTAATGAATCACCACAAGTTTAATGGCTTAAAAACCATATCTATCTAAGCACTGTGGTACATGTCTGCAATCACAGTAACTCAGGAGGCTGAGGCAGGAGGATTGCAAGTTTGAGACCCCCAAGCAATTTGTTGAGACCCTATCTCAAAATAAAAAATTAAAAGGGCTGGGTATGTGGCTCAGTGGTTGAGTGCCCCTGGGTTCAATTCTGGTACTAAAAAGAAAGAGAACTTGTGATCCTCCTGCTTCAGCCTCCCAAGCCACTGGATTACAGGTGTGCACCACAAAGCCCAGCTGTACTGTTTTCTCTCCAGGACCATACTGTGCTCCTGCTTCTTCAGGCATGAGATAATTACACTCCTAATGAACTAACCTGGGTTCTAGAAAGGTAGATTATCTTCTTTTTAAATTACTTTTTATTCTTCAATAGTTTCTTTTCTTTTCCTTCCTTCCTTCCTTCCTTTCTTTGTTCCTTTCTTTCCTTTCTTTCTTTCACAGTGCTGGGGATTGAACCCCAGACTTCACACGTGCTACACTGAGTCACAGCCCCAGCTCTTTTTCCTTAATAGTTCAGCTGGGCTCCTCAGAGCATGATGAATTCTCATTGTTGTTGATACCAGGCCCCTTTTCATTTTCTTTTTTGTGGTACTGGAGATTGAACCCAGGGCCTCATGTATACTAGGAAAAGCACTCTACCACTGAATTTCATCACAGATCTTTTTCATTTTGAGATGAGAGTCTCACTGAGTCATCCAAGCCGACTTCAAATTCAGGATCCTATTACTTTAGCCTCCTGGGTAGCTGGGATTATAAGTATGCACCACTATGTTCAGCAACCTTTCTTGTTTTCTTTTGATCCCTGATCCCTATGCTTGTTCCTCTCCCTGGTATAGGCATACACAAATGTGTCAGTGTATGTTTGGATATGTATGTATCTTTAAATATATGTAGTTATGTGCTTACATGTTTTAAAAATATATGAATGATATATTAAAAAGAATAAACTAGCTTCTATAATGAATTGCACCCATATTTCAGTGGCTTAACACAGTAAGAATTTGTTTTTCACTTATCCCACATAGCACAGGTATTCCTGGCCTGACAGATCTCCCTGTCCATGTCAGAAGCCAAACTACTTCTGTTTTCAGATGGTGAGAGTATGATCTCTGTATCATAAAGTTCCTTGTCAACTTTTCACCACATTGGTTTATTGTCTATTGATGATCATTCTATGAATTGGATACTTCACTAGGGATTATATAACTGTGATTTGCTAATACTACTATTTCATTTCCACTTATTAGCTCTAATTCTGTACAGAAAAACTTTCCACAACCTCTGGGACTATTTGGTAACCCTAAAATAAAGTTCATACCAGAATGGAAAGAGAAATGCTTAAATCTCTTTCCATTCTTAATTTCAAAGTTATAAGTTGATGTTTTAGCAACTACTAATGGCATTCAATGATTTTGTTTTGTTTTACTCTCTCCCATTTTAAAAGTTACTATTATGAACCTATAGTTCTTATATATTTAATGTCTTTTAATCATTTGCAATTTTTATATTACATAAAATATCAAGCTTGGGACTGCATGTGTGTGAGACTAAGGGATCATGAATAAATAAATAAACTTGGGATTACTAGCATCATAATTAAATAATTAATCAAGTACATACAAAAATAGAGAAAATAGCTGGGCATGGTGGCTCATGCTTTTTTTTTTTTTTTAAATATTTATTTAAGTTCTCCACGGACACAACATCTTTGTTGGTATGTGGTGCTGAGGATCGAACCCAGGTCGCATGCATGCCAGGTAAGCGCGCTACCGCTTGAGCCACATCCCCAGCCCTGGCTCATGCTTTTAATCTCAGCAATTTGGGAGGCTGAGGCAGGAGGATTGCAAATTAGAGGTCAATCTCAGCAACTGAGTGAGACACTATCTCAAAGATATAAAGGGCTAAGAATGTAGTTCAGTGGTAAAGTGCTTCTGGGTTTAGTCCCCACTACCAAAAAAAGCATCAAAAATAGAGTAATGAATTCCTATGTATCTATCATCTACCTTCAAGTTATCAATTCTCGGCCAATCTTGATTTATTCCTTCAACTATTCTCCCCAGTCAAGAGTATTTTGTAGCAAAATCATTCATCTATAAATGTTTAGTAACTCTAAAAGATAAGGACTTTTATTAGCCATTATTGTGCCTAAAACTAGTAATTTCTCAACACCATGTAGTAAAATATAATTAGTGTTTAATTTTCTGATAACTTTTAAAAATAGTTTTAGGCTGGGCATGGTGGTGCATGCCTGTAATCCCAGCAGTTCAGGAGGCTGAGGCAGGAGGATAGCAAGTTCAAAGCCAGGCTTAGCAATTTAGCAAGACCCCAGGTAACTTAGTGAGACTGTGTCTCAAAAGAAAAAAAAAATTGAAAAAGAGCTGGGGGTATGGCTCAATGGTTAAGCATCCCTGGGTTTAATCCCTTGAACCAACAACAAACTAATTAGTTTTATCACCAGTGTTATTCTGGCTTTTTTAAAAATAGTTTTATTCTTTAATTCTGTATCCCTAGACACTATATTTTAGTCTCATCTATTTAAGAGCAATTGATATGTCTTCTATGAGTTTCCCATACATCCTTTCTTAACTGCTTACAATTTGTTTTTTAAAGATTCTGGGCCATTTGATTGACACAATTTATCACAGACTGGATTTTGCTAATTATATATTCATGCTTCAGGGATTTTGTTTCTTTGTTTTGTTAGTGCTGGGGATTGGGAATGAACCCAGGTCCTCATACATGAAGTAGTTTTTTTTTTTTTTTTTTTTCATTTTTGTTACTGGGAATTGAACCCAGAGATGTTTAATTCCTGAGCAACATCACCAGCCCTTTGTTTTATTTTTTAATTTTGAAATAGGGTCTTGCTAAGTTCTTAGGGCTTTGCTAAATTGCTGAGGTTTATCTTGAACTTGTAATCCTCCTACCTCGGTCTCCCAACTTGCTGGGGTTACAAGCATGCACCACCATATCCAGCTAGACAGGTTTCTTTATGTTGCCTAGACTGATCTTGAACTTGTGAGCATGATCCAGTTCTAATTGTTCTGTGTCCCCAATATTTCCTGCAAATTATTAGCTGGACTCATAAGCTGGGTCACACTCGGAATTGATCACTTTGGCGGGACAATTAAGAGTTGGTGCATGCCTGTAATCCCAGTGGTTCAGGAAGCTGAGCAGGAGGATCACGAGTTTAAAGCCAGCCTCAAGGGGCTGGGGATGTGGCTCAAGCAGTAGCAAGCTCTCCTGGCATGCGTGCTGCCCGGGTTCCATCCTCAGCACCACATACAAAGTTGTTGTGTCTGCTGAAAACTAAAAAATAAATATTAAAATTCTCTCTCTCTCTCTTTAAAAAAAAAATAAATAAATAAAATAAAGCCAGCCTCAATAAAAAGTGAGGTGCTAAGCAACTCAGTGAGACCTTGTGTCTCTAAATAAAATACAAAATGGGGCTGAGGATGTGGCTCAGTAGTTGAGTGACCCTGAGTTCAATCCTGGGTACCACCAGAAAAAAAGAGGAATCTGGAAAAAAAAATAGTCATATGAATCTAATTGTTTCTGTGATTTTATTTTTTCAGGTGCTGATGCTTATTGTGTCTGTTAATTAATTGAAGATTGCAAAATGGCACCTTTAGTACTATAACCTCCTTTTATTGATTAGTTTAAATATCTTTATTTATTTATTTTGCAATGCTAGGAATTGAACCCAGGGCCTTAGGCATGCTTGGCAAATATTTTACCACTGAGCTACATACACAGACTCTGAAATACTTTTATAAAGAGAAGTTTCCTCTCATCCACTATTTGGTTTCTAAGTACTATACTTCACAAAGGAAAGCCAGAGTGAATGCTTGATTGCCCCCCCACACTTTTTTTTAATGGACACAATATCTTTATTTTTATTTATTTATTTATTTTTATGTGGTGCTGAGGATCCTACCCAGGGCCTTACATGTTCAAGGCAAGCGCTGTACCACTGAGCTACAACCTCAGCCCCCTCCCCTTTTTTTAAACCAGTGTTCAACAAGATAATGAAACAAATTTCTATTATTATTATTATTATTTTTTTTGGTACCAGGGATTGAACTCAATGCACTCAACTATTGAGCCATTGAGCCACATCCCCAGCCCTTTTTTTTTTTTTTTTTT